AAATCAACAACAAAAAACAACAAAACAAAACACAAAACAAAACAAAACAAACGAATACTCACTATGCTTGCGTGTCGCGTATAATTTTTACCTTATATACAGCAAAACCAATAGGGACCTCCCTCTGAAGTCTTCTGTTGTCTTTTCTCATCAAAGCGATCACCATTGAGCAACCGTTCCTCTCGCAATCATCGTCTGGTTCCTCCAGTTTTACCCTTAAAAATATTTTACCGAAACTCTAAAATACACTTTGAATTAGCCACTTTAGAAACAAGCAAGAGACTGGGGCGAGTTTTGAATTTTAATCTTATTAGAAAAAGCTTTTGTCACTTGAAAAAGCATCTCAACTTTAGTAAGTTTGGCAGATTTGAACATGATTGGATGAAAAAAAAAAACCAGAATTATTTTCTTTCACAAGTGTTTAAAATTTACAAAGAACGTATGGTTACAGGGGACACTTTTTGCAATTTTTTATTTTTTTGCTAATTAGATTAAAATTCAAAACTCGCTCCAGTCTTTTGCTCGCTGCTAAAGGGGTCAATTAATGATTCTCAACTAATAATATTTTGATAGGATAAATATTTAGTTGTGGGTGTAAGGTAAAAACGTCGCACAATATTGCGCAAAACGTGCGTCGCAAGTTGAATTGCTGAGTTAATAATGCTGGTGTTACCACCTCGCGCGCAACACGTTTTTCTTTGTTTATATATATGATTTTTCAATATATAACCTAAGTAATGTAGGCATCACTCGCTTTGCAACCTGCAAAGGAACAAGGCTGCGTGTAGCCTGAGGGCAGCCCGATTGCGCCGCGCAGTAACGAAACGAGTTCGATAGCAAGGGGTATCTGCGGTGGCGTGATTTTAAACGGGACGGGACTTGAACAAGATACAGCTTCTTAAGACCTCACTTACCTTATTTGTGGGTTTCTATCAAAGTATGTTATGAAGTTCCTAAACCCTCCAGCGTTGACTCCTGCCTGCCATCGTCCCGTTTCTATTCTGAGCTCCCATTTCTTCTTGTGTTCGTCTGTCACGCTGTCTGGGGTGAGCATGCAGATTTCAATTAAGGAGAAAGTGCGAAGAAAGTCTTTAAGGTCCATCCTGAAACCAAGCATACATTCAACATCAACATCATTATCATTATTATCATCATCATCATTATTACGATCATCATCATTATCATTGTCATCATCACACGACAACAACATTAACGACATCATCATCATTATCATCATTATCACCATCATTATTATGATCATCATCATTATCATTATCATCATCACACAACAACAACATCATCACCATTTTCATTGTCATCATCACACGACAACAACAACATCATCGTCATCATCATCGTCATCATCATCATCACCATCCCCACACAACAACCAAAATATAATCATGGTCATTATTAACATGAACAACAACAATGACATCATCATCATCCATAGCAACATCATCATCAAAAATATCATTAATGCTATCATCGCCATTATGAATAAATTCAACTTTATCATCACCATCATCATCGTCCTCGTCATAGAGCAAAATTTCAAACGCGTTCAATCAAAATTATGTGCTTTGATCTACATACCAAAATTCCCCATCGTCTTCAAAAGTCAAATCCAATTGTAGTTTTTGACGAGCTGAAAGCATTTTCCACTGCGAAGATCTAATAAAAATTAGGTTTTAGAATTCCTCATTCAATTGGACAAATACTACGATTCACGCGATGCGCAAGCCACAGGTAAACAGTAAGCACAAACGCAAAAGGAGTATATTATAACGTAGATATGTGCGTGCGCAATTGCAAGTACCGTACACGTCACTGATGCGCACACAAAATTGGATGTTCTGCGCACGTGAAAATATCGCGTGATGCGCACGTGACTGTCAATTTTGCGCAAATGCACGTGGTTACATTACTTGTCACTCCAAGCACCCTTCCACTCGGCATCGTTTCCCCACGGATTTCTAAGTCGAATCAGGTGTATAACGGGACGCTCAGGAAAGCTGGGTGGTTCAACCTACGAAAGAAAAACATTTTTCACAACTTATTTTAATCTTCGAACATTTTGACTTTTTCGATTTTTTTTCCGTTTTTTTTTTCCCGTTTGGTACGTTTGGTTGATGGAGAATATTGACACCAGATTTCGGCTGTAGATGAACAAAACAAAACAAAAATCGACATGAAAACACCTCTTGAAAAATAGTCTCCCTCTCAGGTTCTTTCCAACTTTACATATAGGCTCTGGGAACAAGATATCCGGAAGATTCTGTTGTCTTTATGTTCTGCAGTTCATATATGTATTATTTCAATGTAAATTTAATAAGTCGATTGGTGAAAGCTTCACTCACCGCTATGCTGGCTCCCAGCAAAGAATGTCGTTGAACTGATTTGCTCAAAAACTCGAACAAATTTTCTGGTGGATTTGAAAGCTTAATATTCTCGACAAGCCCGCCTGTGAAGTCTTGTAGCGCTTCGCTCTGAAGACCATAAGCAAGGGACTCGTACGTGCCGTATAACCTCGTAAATGATAAAAGTTAATAGAAAATTAGATTATCATATTTTATTTGAAATAGATAAGGGGCCGTTAAAGAACACCACATGATCGATACGTTGCCATTTTGCACTAACAATATACGTGATAACCACGCATCATTGTTTTGCGGGAAACAGTAGCAAGAAGTGTCCCAGTACGGTAAATCTCCGAAAATAATACCAGGGCTTATATTTTCCCAGCGTGTCTTAAAACATTAGATTGAAGAATGATAGAATCACTGATGTGATACGTAGCTTATTTTCTAAGCTCTAAGGTATTTATGTACGGATTCAAAGACCTAATCCGCCATTGCGAGATCATTCCGCACATATAGCGATAAATACATCTATAGGCAACGTATGTAAGTATGAAATTGTTTACACTCTATCTTTTTTACTTGCAGTAAGCTTTTTCCACTAAGCTGCACCAGAACTCATTGGGATCCGTAGATTTGGCGAAATAAAGACGCCCATTGTAAGTAGGAAGTCTGTCGTCCACTATCACCTCAATCCATTCTCCGAATCTCCAGAACCGAAAGACGAACAAGCCGCAGTAGTGATCTTTGCGGAAGGTCTGGTGCGGAGGGCAGACGCGATAAAGGAGGGATTTGTACTGTGATAAGGTTGATAGAGCAGAGACGAGCCAGCAGTTTTGGAGGTTTCCTTGAGCAATGTCATGTCGATCCACACCATCAGAAAAGAACTTTGGATTCTGACAAATTTCCTTTTGGAAGGTGAATAATTTACGTAATATATGAGTGATCAATGGGGATGAAGACAGACAGACAGACAGACAGTTCACTTACCCCTGGCCTTTTCCATACTATATTGACCTTTGGAGGATTCTTTGAGTATAAGGATCGACTATTAGCCGGAAAGTCTCGGTCTTCGTACAACTTTCCTTCGCGAAGACAATCAAGGCGAAGCTGCTCGTACTTCCCAGGCCTTCCTCGGTCTTTACTGTTCATCACGTCACGCGTTGCTTTGTGGCGTTACAACTTATTGATTTGATGCGTGACTGAAATCACTTCTAAGTTGAAATTACTTCCAAGATGCTTCGCGCGGTTCTAACCTATTAACCAATATATTGTTTTCCAATAATGAATATATATATATATACAGGCAAAAGAAAACAATTGTTGTAAGTTTTGAACGTGTCATCTTCAGCGTAAATGCCAAGTTCGAGAGTATTGTTCAGAAATATATAATAAGTAATTTTAAACTTCACGAAAAAGTTCAAAACTTTTTACAAACTTTAAAAAAATTCTTATCAGCGAATTATTATGACAATGGAAAAAATATATTGTTTTTCCAAAAAAAACTAAGTAGAGACGTCGAATTTTCAATAATTCTATACATTTTGGTATAGAAATATAATTACTCGGTTAAATGGTCGTTAGAGTTTGATTTACAATTGAATAATATTTGGATAACAATATTGTTGGCACGATTAAAACTTGAATAATTGAATAAATATGAAAAAAATATAAAACAAACTTTAAAGCAAAGTCAAGTTAATTCTGGAAAGCCAACTTAAACAGACGTATACGAAAGTTCTTGGTGTAGTTCAAGTATTTTTAAAATCTAATTTAATAGCAAGAAAATATTGTTTAAAAAAATGTTACAATAGAAAATATCGAAGAAGGAAATTAAAACGACTTCCAATTTCAAAGTAGTGTGTGTCAAAATAGGATCTTTCTTACCTTTTAAAAATATAGAAGAACGTCTTTAATGTGCGTATTGAGAGACGAATTACGATGGATCTAGTCTACTTTAAATTCAACTTTAGTTTAGTATAGCGGATTGCTATGCATGGAAGATCGTCTCGCTTGACCTTGCCCTGCTTGACGGACGCCTGCTGAAAGTATTTAGATCCTCGTCTAAGTTTTTCTATTTATAAGCCACTTGCTTTGCAGAATCCAAACCACTTCGAGTCAGTCTGGCGTTATTTATACTGAAGAAAAATGCTCATACAACCATGAAAAAATATAACAAACTTGAAATAAACTTACTATCTAGTTGACATTGGGCGACAAAAAATTGTAACACGCGAAAAGGTCTTCTTTTAAAATGATCTTACAGATATAAATACCAAATTCACGGGATACTGACAGCGATAGTTATGAGTTTTTGATAGTTTAAACCCAGCCGAAAATAAAACTAAGCCACCTGTTATCAACCACGCCTCCTAACACCCGACTCGCACATGCGCAGTGTCGACTCTAACGAAACTTTTTGAATAATTCTCGCTCTGAACTAGAGTTTTAAAACAAATAATGTCGCGTAAATGACGTAGAGATAACACGCTTTCACCAATGCCCAAGCTACGGATTTCTTATCTTATAGAACAATATATATTATTTTTAGACGAGTTCAATTGAGGTAGTTTCAATGTTTGATGAAAACAAAGATAAACTATTTATGAAGTTGCGTTGTTTGTTTTACCGACAACCGGGCGACGTAAGCCACCACAGAAGAACCACTTAATCTAAACGGAGATTTGCCAAACAGTGGATTAACACTTAAAACTGAGCATTGTTTTATACTTGTAATTGTTAGTGCTCCAACAAAAATAATCTTAACTGAATCTTGACTACAGTAAGGACGGTCTATCTAGCTTAAGTTTCTGTATCAAACGCTTTTTTTAATATGATTGTGACAAAAATGGATGGAATTTATTTTTAGTTCTGAAGTTTTTTCCGTAGGAGAAATAGTAAAAAAACCAGGCAAATAAAATGCACATCCCGCGTATTACGGTACTGACTTTCATGATAAAATTTTTATTATGCGACAGAAAAAGTACAATGCAATTGCCAAAAATGGGATTCAACTGAGGGGAGACCATGTTTGCAAAATGAGTTGAGTTGTATCTATATATTTATGTGTATTCTCTTAAACAAAGAAATGATACTCTAGGGAATGACATGTCTTAAATAGGGAAACTTTCAATCAAGGTAAAGAGGTCTATTGCTTTGAGAGTTGAGTTCAACTAGTCAAGATGCGGTAGCGCAACTGATGCGGATCGAAATGCCACGGCTTCACGCCTACTCTAATCATGTTGTCGCCGAAGGCGTGACACTTGGTTTGGCGGCTGAGATCAAATGAATAATAAACTAAATCTTATTTTGTCAGGAATAAGAAAATAAATTCCTTAAACTTGCTACTATATAAATATACTGACTACAAAAGGGTCTTGTATTATGAGAGAATCGTGTTTTTTTTTTGCTATTGAAATTCATAGTTGGATCCCTTGTACGTGGATGATGGCTAAAGTTCTGTGACTGGAGTGGTAGAGATGGCGCGCAAAGAATATCGACATAACGCCGGCTTTTGAAAACTCAAAAAGTAGCGAATCATGAGGACTAAGAATGTTTTTTTTTTTTAGAACTGCTGCATTTAAAGGTCTGTATTTCTCCATGAAAGGTTTTGTCAGCCATGTGTAAATCTTAATTGCATTACCATACTAAACCTATTATGCGCATGTCAAATGAATTTAGTTAGTTAAAATGCATCCCACATGGACTGCTTAAAGGGACTCTGAGGTGCCAGACACATCATAGCTTAAAATGTACATCAAACCTTGTTGATTTTGAAAATCGAAATGAAAATTTCATGAAATGCGTTTTTTGGGGTGATATCGTCCGTCAAAGTTGCGAAATAACTTAAGCTGGGCTCCCTGTGGAATATCACGGATTTGATGGCTTGGGATGCCTGGGCTGTAATGACGTCAGATAGTGGAACATGTTGGGTAGCTGGAGTTGAATCAGCCAATTTTCGCTATGGAAGTATGGCTGTTCTTTATCAATTTGAGCCGGAAATTGCTTGAGGAGATCAGAATATAATACACCCGATGAAAGTGTGAGCGAGGAAAGTGAGCTAGAAGAAGTGGTGAACGAAAAAAAAGGCTTCAAGGTATCGATTAAAGTCAGAAATGTGTCGTGATGGAACCAGCTAGCTGATATGTGTTTATGTCGTTAAATGAGCTTATTAGGTAAAATATTATTAAGTAAATGAAACATTTTATCTCACGCAAGATTTTAATATTTTCTGATGTTAAACTCAACGTAATTTTTAGACATAACATGCATCACGAGTATTGTGTCTGAATCAAGATATGTGCTCAGGACTGCGTTTAATAGTTTCTCTTCATGACAGAGAAGGCTCATTCCAAATTTAACAAATATTGCAAATAAGTGAGTTTTTTCTGTATTTTCTATTACGTTCTTATATTCCAAATAAGTGAGCTTTTTTTGATATTTTCTATTTAATATGCGTTCAATGCATATTCATTTCGCTGAAATGCTTTTTCAGCCCTCTACGCTGTGCTAGTTTATATTGCCAAATTACATGGTGAGTGCATGGTTATCTTAGTAAAAAGATCAGAAGAGTAATCTCAGCATGTGTGGTATCTAAGATAAGATCTAYCTTCCCTGAATGTATGAGGAAGATAATGGCTTTAAAGAAGATGGAAGTGAAGATGAAGCTGCTGACACGTACACCACATCGATTCCTTGAAGCCTTTCCTCGTTCGCCACTTCTTCTAGCTCACTTTCCTCGCTCACACTTTCATCGGGTGTATTATATTCTTCTCCTCAAGCAATTTCCGGCTCAAATTGATAAAGAACAGCCATACTTCCATAGCGAAATTTGGCTGATTCAACTCCAGCTACCCAACATGTTCCACTATCTGACGTCATCACAGCCCAGGCATCCCAAGCCATCAAATCCGTGATATTCCACAGGGAGCCCAGCTTAAGTTATTTCGCAACTTTGACGGACGATATCACCCCAAAAAACGCATTTCATGAAATTTTCATTTCGATTTTCAAAATCAACAAGGTTTGATGTACATTTTAAGCTATGATGTGTCTGGCACCTCAGAGTCCCTTTAAGAAAACTGGAGTTTTGTCGGCAGAGAAAATTTCCAAATTTATTGGTCATAGCAAAGGGTTAATCATTTATGGTCTAGGGGCCGACTAACTTCTCCCTTAGGCTTTGGCCGAGCTTCCTGATCAGTCACTGGATAGCGGTGTCGGGGCCGAAATCTCCGGCATAGCCGTAAATGCTTCGCGCTGCCATACTGCGCTTCAGCTTTAGGTCTGGATGTATGGTCCCAATTTCTTAAGTAAAGAATAAGTGAAATTTAATCTTTCTATTCTTTATTTAATATGATATTTTTTGATGACTTTAGAGATATAGTACTTCTTTCTGAGCAGATGTGGCAATGCTTCTCCCCGACGTGTGCCATTCTTATCCCTGAGTTGTGTCATCCTTCTTCCTGAGGTGTGCCATCCTTCTCCCTGAGGTGTGTCATCCTTCTCCCTGAGGTGTGCTATACTTCTCCCTGAGGTGTGTCATCCTTCTCCCTGGGGTGTGCCATCCTTCTCCCTGGGGTGTGCCATCCTTTTCCCTGAGGTGTGCCATCCTTCTCCCTGAGGTGTGTCATCCTTCTCCCTGAGGTGTGTCATCCTTCTCCCTGAGGTGTG